GTTTGAATAAATTGTAGTATTAATCAATTTTCTGACACTACCTTAAAACAGAATGCACACTATGGTAGAGCTGTTAACAATACTTTTTTTTTTCTTTATTAGCACCATCTTAGTTTTCTCAGTACAAACTTTGCCTTGCTAAAACTAGCATAGAAAATAAATAAAGCATAATCAGGCTAAATTATAGAATCATAGAATATTCCAAGATGGAAAGGACCCACAAGGATCCTTTGAACTCCTGGAAACATGATAAATGCAAGAGTCACTGCCAGTTGGGAAATAACTTGGAGTTACTTCAAAATACTTACAAATCCCAGCATGAAAACGTCCCCGTATTCAATAAAACACTACCATAATTCCACCAGACACACATAAATAAAAGTGAGGAATTAAGAGGACTTGAGTATTTAAAAAAGAAAATAAAGTTGTAGGATTAGAAAGAAACACAAAGTAGGGAAAGAATAATTATCAATGGTATGGAAGAGTTTCTACCTGCAATGGGACAACCCCCTGCTCTCTCCTTGCCTCTTCTTAGCTGTTGATATTTAAGGGATCTAAGATACAAAGTTTCAGATTAAAAATTCACAAACAGCTAAGGGCACCAGAAATATTCCCTCTGGAGATCAGTCCTGCCCCAGTGCTCGTCTCCAAAATTCTCTAGGCCTCTTCCTTATGAAGCTCAAAAATAATTTGTTAGGGTTTACTTTGGTTTGTTCAAGTTTTCTCTGAGTCTCTGCTAAGGAAGAAAGGTTACAAAAGTAGCAATAGACCAGCGTTTACAGAAAAGAGAATCTCTTTGCAAATCTATCCTCCTTTTCCATTCTCAAATTTATTTGATAAACACAAAATTTACTGCTCTGTCTCAGGAAGTCCCTGAGACATAAGCTGGCAGATGCATCCTCTTGCATAAAAATAAGATGCTGAGTGGCTTAAGAATGTCTCAGTGACTTCACAGCAGATGAGCTGAATTGCTCCTAACTGCGCAGAAATCTACACAGTGATTTCAAAAAAGTCATAATTTTTGAGAATTGAAATAATTGATTTGATTAGAATTATTTCTACATAAACTCTCACCTGAAAAAAAAAAAAAACCAAAAAAAAAACCATTAATTAATTAAGAGAGTAAAGACTCACTTCATTGAGAATGCAGTTCAACTGAAGAACTTTCAATATTCATGACAGTGGATGAGGAAACAATCCCAAATTGGTTGCTGTGACTAGAACTAAATTTGCAGGCCTCTAGATAGCCATGACAATGGAAAAAGCCTAGCTTCTTTTTTCCTTGTGCATGCTGTGGATGTTTTGTGCAAACCACTTATACAAAATGAGGAACCTCATGATGTGATTTTTCTATATAAAGGTAATCAGAAAACAGAACATTTCAAACAACCCAGTGCTTTTCAATGGGAATAATTTACTTTGGCTACCATTATTCACAATTACTAACAATTTTCTGCTTGCACCCTGTTACACTCTTCCCTTGCTAATTGCTTTTTATGTGTGTATTACATATGTTGCTTGTTAAAATATGCATGCTGAGTTTAATAACAGTGACTGCAATGTCCTCATCTTTAACAATTAACGATATAATTGCCTGGGAAAGAAACTGAAGTCTTCATATCTCTGACTTTATGCCTGGTCTGAGTTTTGTCTTACAGTAGCCAGAATCTACTCTGTTTTGAAAAAAAATATTGGCATAACCTTTGGCCTCTTTGCAAGCTTCCAGAATTTGAAATTGACTTAATGTCTGGTATCACAGAATCACAGATCACAGAATCACAGAATCACCCGGGTTGGAAGGGACCTCAAGGATCATGTAGTTCCAACCCCTCTGCCTAGCAGGGCCACCAAACACACACATTCAGATCAGGTTAGGACTGGTAGGTCCAGTTTTGCTAAGTAAGGCCAAAGTATTTATTCAAATGTAAGTAAGGCAGTCCAGAGGAGGGTGACAGAGATGATGGGGGGCCTGGAGCACCTCTGTCATGAGGAAAGCTGAGAGATTTGGGGCTGCTCGGCTTGGACAAGACTGAGAGGGGATCTTGTCAGGGCTTAATGAGGGAGTCAAGTACATGGGGCCAGGCACTCTTCCACAGTGCTCAGTGACAGAACAAGAGGCAACAGGCACAAACTGGAACACAGCAAGTTCCATCTGAACATGAGGAAGAACTTCTCTACTGTCAGAGTGACAGAGCACTGGAACAGGCTGCCCATGAGAGGTTGTGGAGTCTCCTCTGGAGGTATTCAAAAATCCAGCTTTGACACTTTCCTGCATAATCTACTGTAGGAATATTGCTTAAGCAGGGAGTTAGACTAGATGATCTCCATAGGTCCCTTCCAGACCCTATGATTCTGTGAGGTACTTTGTTCCTGCTAGGCTCAGTTAGTGATACTGTGCAACATTTACCATTCTATTGATTTTAGCATTCCAAACAGTTCAAGTAAAAACACAGTTCTGTATTTTTATGAATAGACTCTGATAAACCTTCATTAAAATAATTGTTAAAACCGACAGAAAGAAAAAAGGTGGTTCAAAAGTCCCATGGAAGATGCTAAAAGCAACACTCTAGGTGTCATTTTTTACTTAACTGAACTTGTTCTGAGTGTTCCAGTCCTAAACTCTGGACTTTGGTCCAGCATTTTGTTCCAAGACACAACACCCTCTGTAAAGGTTGAATTCCACATTCTTTTTGATGAAAACTTGGTCATTCATTTCTTTAAAAAATTCCATAGCAACGTTTAGATTGTTCCCAGAACAGAGGTGAAGTCATGTTGGTTAAGGCTAATGCTGAATTTAATGAAATCAGCCAATGGGGAAAGCAGGTGCATGAGCAAATCCATTTAGTCTTTGACAAGGGGTCTATTGCTACTTTCAAAACAACACTGAAGATTTAATGGCACGAAGACCATGTACTACTCAATATACAAAGTTTTTAAGATAAAGAGGGTAAAGAACTGTACTAGTTTTATTATGCACAGGTAAATGGCAAAGTTTTAAAAACTGTTGTCCAATCAAATCAGGTTTTCCAAAGGACAAGACATGATCCAATGACGACTGCAATGTCTTGAGTCAAAATATGCCAAATTCTCTTTGTTGAAACAACTTCTCAAGAGATCATAAGGATAACTTAAGGAGATTTGAATTTTAGAAGCTTTCTAAGATCAAGTCTGCAATTTTTAGGGGTTGGGGGAAAAAAAAAGGTGGAAAACCATACCATACCACTGTACAGTCAGGAAACAAACTACAACATGGTTTAAAATGCATATCATCACCAAGAAGCACTAAACCACTACTTTAAAATGCAAGCTTATATTGTACATAAAAATTTTACACTAAAAACTCATTTTCCCTTATTTTTAAGAAACACAATGTGATAAGCATACTTCAACAGATGGGATAAATACCAGACCAAACAGCAAAATTCTCTGCCTTCATGTGTTCAGAACTAAATTTTCTAAGAGATATACCTTAGCAGAACAAGTTACAAGACTAAATAAAAGGTTCATCAGCTGAGACTTAGTAATTCATTATATGAAGAGCTGAGGAGAATCAGGACACACTGCGTTCATTTCCATTCTTAGAAAACAAAACCACACACCACAACAACGTAAGCCAAATTATGCATCAAAATTAATTATTTCTTCTTCTCTTTCCTAAAAAGATTTTGTCGTCATTCACGTTCATGTTATAGTTCCAAATATAGTTTAAAAAAATAGTTAACTTTTTCCTTGAGGAGTTTGGAAATTGGGAATAATTTGGGGATTAATTTCTTCACATAAAAGGCACTTACCATTGCAATTAATTCATGTTTCAGAACTGTTTTTTTTTTTTTTTCTTTTTAAATTGAAAACATATATTTTATACGGGGTTTATGCCTTCAAAAAAAATCTCTAATGGCAAGTTATCATAAAAGCACAGACATCAGAATTATGTGTATTGTCAATCATGCTGTGTACTCTGAGAATACTATTCAGTAATAATCAATACTTTACTCTTCCTGATATCTCTTCAGGCTACTTGCTACCGCATCACATTTAGATGATCACTAAGCTTATTAACAAACCACCAGACCTTTTTCAAAAATCACTGTCTTCTATGAACTTTCCAACTGACATGTACTGCATTCTTTGTTCCTATGCATACAGCCTGTATATGGCTGCATGAGAATGAACTTCATCTGTAGGGAACACATTATATAAAACAGTAAGAAACTGCTTCTTGACAATGAGGAAGTGATACCTGATTCTTTTTTCTGAGCAGCAATTTTATATTTACTCCTAAGTTTGTCAAAACTGTCAAATGGTTTCAAATGGAGTTATTACCACTATCTATAAAACGTCACACATGCAGACAGAAAACCCCCTTTTTCTGGTAAGATTTTTCCCATCAATGACTGCTTTTCTAAATCTGTTACTAAGTTCTTAAGACCCTTCATATGCCATCCTGATGCTGTGCAGTACCAATTTTTAGTTCAATGGCAGGTCTCAACTATAAATAACATGTGGATTTCATCTAAGCAGTTACTTCCATTAATGCATTTAATTTTGCGTGTATAAAATCTACTTTCTGATACAATCTTAATATACCTTCTTTAGAAACAGAGCGAATATTATACATATGAACTGTAGAAATGTGTAGCTATCTAGAAGAATTCAACACATATTTCTGTGCTTCCTAATCTAGAAAAGCTGAATCAGGAAATAGCCTGTATGTGCAGATTGCCTTTCAACCTTTCAAGGAAGCTGCTTCATGAATATGTACTCATAGATCAAGTAACACTTGTTATGCATCACTTCCAAATCTATTATGCTAAACTTTGTGAGATGTTCAGAATCAGACTCAGAACAGTTTCAGCCTGACCAAAACATCACTGGTATCAATGAAATCTTTCATCAGTGGCCTTTGTAACAGATCCTTATCGTCTGCACTACAGATTTAAATATAACCCCATTTGAAACAACAGCAGTATAATGAAACATGCTCAAACAGCAATCCTTACCTGTTCAAAGCAAATGCATAATGAAACTTAATGTTGTGTTGATCAGCCAGGTCACATGTAGGAAGCATTTCTAGTGTTTCTACCAGCTTTACCATAGCATCATAGTCCTGGTAGGAATACAACAAAATTTAAAATTAAAAAAAAAAAAAAAAGACAGAAATACAGATCACCTCCAGCAGAGGAAAGTATCAGTAACCTAAAATTTATCATGACAGCTAGACAGGCCATGACAATGCTGCACCTTTTCCCCACCAACACGAGAGAACTGATTGGTGACATCAGGATTGCAGGCTGCCTAGGCTGTAGTGACCATGCAACAGCACAGTTCAAACTCTTTAGCGATATTAGACAGGCAAAGAGTAAACTCAGGAAGCTTAGTTTTACGAAAACCTACTTCCAGCTCTTTGAAGAGTTCATCAATAAAACTCCCTGGGAATCTGTCCTCAAGGACAAGAGAGCAGAGCAGAGCTGGCAGATCTTAAAGGAAGATCTTAGGACACACGTGCTCTCCATCCACAGGTGTATGAAGTCAGGAAAGGAAGGAAAGAGATGGATATGGCAGAAGTGGGACCAGCTGGTTAAACTGGAGAGTAAGAAGAAAATGCACTGGCAGTGGAAGCAGGGACTGTAAAATTGGGAGGAACATAGGGATACTGCTAGGCTGTTTAAGGTCAGGAAAACCAAGGCCCAACTGGAACTGGGCTTGGCAAGGGGCACAAAGAAGGATAAGAAAGGCTTCTCTAGGTACCAGAAACTGAAAGTCAAGTAGGGTGTACCCTCCCCACTAAGCAATACAAGAAGGTTCGTAACAACAAACAAGGAAAAGGCTAAGATACTCAACAACATTTTTCTCTCAGTCTTCACAAGCAACTCCCTTACAGACAGCCCTTGAGTGGACAGGTCATAAGGTGGGAACTAGGGGAGCATTGCCCCTCCTGATGTAAGCAAAGATCAAGTGCATGACTCCAGAGGAACCTGAACAGCTCAAAGTCTATGGATCCCAAAGAAACGCATCCCAGAGTCCTGAGGAAATTAGCTGAATCAGTTGCCAAGCCATTGTCAATATTTGAAAAAACGTCGTGACAGTCATATGAAGTCCCTGGTGACTGGAAAAAAGACAGTGTCACACTTATTTTTAAGAAGGGTAGAAATGATGATCCAGGAAAGTACCAACCTGTCAACCTCACCCCTGTGCTTGGGAAGATCATGGAGTTTCACAGAAGCTATGATAAAGACATGAAAGACAGAGGAGAATGGGAGATCTAGCATGGCCTCACCAAGGGAATCTGCTGCTTGAAAAGCCTTGCCGCTGTTTATGATGGCATAACTGCATCAGAGGCAAGAGAAGAGCCACTGATATCATCTATCTGGACACCAGTAAGGCTTTGACACTGTATACCCCACAACATCCTTTTCTCCAAATTGGAAGGACACGGATTTGATGGGTGGATTGTTCAATCCACAAAGAACTGGTTGTGAGATTGTGTCCAGAGAGTGGTGGCCAATAGCTCAAAGTCCAGTTAGAGAACAGTGACAAACGGTGTCCCTTAAAGGTAGTACTGGGACCGGCTCTCTTTAATACGTTCATCAAAGACATTGATAGTGGGATTGAGTGTAATTTCAGTAAATTTGCAGATGACAACAAGCTGTGTGATGCAGATGGCACACCTGAGGTACAGGATGTTATTCAGAGAGATCTAGACAGGGTGAAACACTGGGCCCACGAGAACCTCATGAGGTTCCATAAAGCCAAGAGCAGGGTGTTGCACCCGGGCCATGGAAACCTCTGTTATCAGTACAAAGTGGGGGATGAAAGGATGGAGCACATCCTTCCAGAAAAGGACCTGAGGGTACTGGTGGATGGCAAGCTAGATTAGCCAGCAATTTGCCCTCATATCCCAGAAAGCCAACTATATCTTGGGCTGCATCCAAAGAAGTGGGGTGAGCAGGTCAAAAGAAATGATTCTGCCCCTCTACTTTGCACTGGTGACACTTTACCTGGAGTACTGCATCCAGATGTGGAGTCCTCGGTACAGACCTGAAAGTGGCCTTTCAGTATATAAAGGAGGGCTATAAGAAAGGAGACAGACTCTGTAACAGGGTCTGTTGTAACAGGACAAGGGCACATGGTTTCAAACTAAAAGAGGGGTGGTTTAGATTGGATATAAGGAAGAATTTTTTTTTACAATGAGAGTGGGAGAGGCACCAGCACAGATTGCCCAGAGAGGTGGTGGATACCTGGGGACAGTCCAGGTCAGGCTGGATGTGGCTCTGAGCACCATGATGTAGCTGTAGGTGTCTTGTTCACTGCAGGGGAATTGGACTAGATGGCCTTTAAAGGTCACTTCCAACTCAAAAGATTCTGTGATTGCATGACAGTGTCTCAGGTGACTTTCCTTAGAAGTGGGTCAATACTTATCTTTTCCTCCATTCAGCGCCAATTCCTCCATGCAATCCAGAATACCCTTAGCCATTTACCAGCACTATGAATCAGAAGTGTTGAGTCTGGCTGTTTCAAGCCTTATTGAGTGCTTCTGATGAATTACACTTCATCAGGTCACTGCAAAATTCTACTTTGCATAGCTTGTTTTGTAGAACTTCAGCTGGCTGTGAATTCATTTTACTTTTTCAGGAGGTTGCCAACGTATACTGCTGAATTGGCCAGCTCACTGAGATCACGGATGGTCTCACACTACTTAATCTGTGCGTTCAATATATATTTAAGTGTGATTACATTTCTCCAGGAAGACATTTCAAAGGAGTGCAAATGCTCACCAGAGGTGACAAAAAATGATATGGATAAGAAGCAGCAGGGGAATATAAATCTCAGAATGAAAAGTTGGGTGATGCAGAGTGATACAGTCACCCACTGCTCTCATGTCTCATTTGTACTTGCCAAATAACCAACTTAGCTCCTGAAGGAAAAAAAAACAAACAAAACACAATTGTTGAATGGTTGGAAGTACATTTTAAAAGTGGTATCAAACACAGAGCCTGGAAGCTCAGAAATACAGTGTGTAAACTGCATTTAAATAAAATCAAGAAAAAAAAAGGTGTGCCTACTTTTTAAAAAGAAATTAGTGTTTCATTCAGTTACAGTTAACAACTTGGACACTTCTGGTCAATACATTGGTCAAAAGAAATCAATTTTATTAGTTTCCAAACTGGAAGAGAGCAAGAAGGGGCAGGGAAGAAAAGAGCAAAAATCCATTTTGCTTGGATCAGCTTTCATTATTTATATATTTTAAGGAGGTTAAAAATGACAGAAAATAAGCAAGAAAGTCTCCTAATTAGTGTCTCTTGTTCACAAGTAAAATAAATAAGAGTCTACAGCCCCTTATAGCTTAGTGGTCAAGTCAAACTGTTAGTGCAGAAATTTAGGGTCAGCTTTGAATCACTCTTTAATAAACAAAGTCTCGAGAACAAGCAAGTTGCAAAATCCCATAGTAAAATCACCTTCTTTAGTCTTTAGAAACATACCTGTATATCTCGGTAAGAAAGAAGCAGGTTTATGACAATGTCAGAAGTCAGCACTTCAGTATTATCCATACGAAGCTTAATTCTAGCCAGCTCCTTAGCCAGTTCATCTCCTTGGTACTTCTCTCTAGCCTTCCTAATATCATTTAGCAGTGTTTCTTTATAATAGGCACTGAAGAAGTAGAAGACAGACATGGAAAGAAGACTTTAGATATTTCTTATGAAACAGAATCATTTAGCTTAGAAAACACCTTCAAGATCGCCAAGTCCAACCACCGATGTGACCTACTAAATCCTATCACTAAACCATGCCCCTTGGTGCCACACGTCTCTTAAATACAGTGATGGGGTCTCCACCATCACACTGAGCAGGGGAGGGCAACTATGAAACATAGCTGTATTTCTAATAAAAAGTACCATTTCCTCAGAGAGAAAACTACATCAAATGTTTCATCTAAACCTAAATTTTTCACCAGTTCATACATCCACCTTGCTTCACCTCAATCTATTGGGCTATGTATCAATACCAGGATTTTGAGATGACTTTTTTTTGCCACAGTAGAACTGGTGCTTTTTTTGGTCCATTACTGACAACTACAGATACAGAACTTTGTATTTCTCTCCTTAAGAAGACAGTACTTGGAGTGACATAGAGACAAAAGATCATTGTGACATAAAGAGGAGATACAGGATTTTATAACCAAAAGAGGAAAGAAACTTTCAAACAAAAACCAAAACAAGCCACCAAAAGCTAACCTACTTGTAGTTTGTTTGATGAACACAAAATGCATCATGTGTATTAAAATAAATATAATACATAACATAAAATCCAACAATAGGAGTTGCACAACTTATTTTAGTGCACATTGCAATGCCAGAGATTTGGAAAACTACAAAACTGTATCCTGTTATCAATATCACAGTTATAAACCACCTGAACAGACTACCTAAAGTAAAGGTGATCTGGAGCAATTTATGAAGCTAACAGCTGGGAAGTTAGCAGATACCGGACAGATACTCAAGACAGCAAAGCCACGTATTCACTACTGAAAAACTTTCAAAATACTGTCAAATGGAAGTCAGGCCTAATTCATCATGCAGTACTAATGTCAAGTTTGTATCTTCTTCCAGGTTAATGAAAATTAGCCCCTCTTAGGTGTTAACCAAACCTAAGACAGATATTGTGGTGATCTTATTTGAAATATTTTTTAAAAGTATCCACACGACTTAGGAATGGAAGCACCAGTTAAGAATGATTTTACACATGAGCTTTTCAAACATTCAAGCTTTTGGCAAAAATGTGGGGTCATCAAGCTACATCTTCCTCCTCACTGAGATCTACCACAATAGCATTTAACTCTGTATCAGTCCAAAAGCTCGATACACCCTGAAAACTGAAGAGAGAAAATTGGCTTGACTGCGGTGCTTTAATAAAATATTACCCTTATGCTGACAAGCTGTACTGACATTCCACTCCTCTTCTTGTCCCTTTCCTTAAATTGGGCCTGTGTTGCCTATCTGTAGCTTCCACTCCAGCACTTCTTTGGAGAAGCAGGAGGCAGCTTGTGTTTTTTCAGGCCAGCACTTTCCCAGACACTGACCAGCAAGGTGCCAAAGAATGGCAGATCTGCTGTGAATGGTGGTGAAAGTGGTGAGGGTGTGTATGGGCAGGTATGGGTCTATGGGTCCCAGCAGTGGAATGGGCAATGACACAAGAGAAAACAAAACAATAACTGCTACCTCATGCTTAAGACACAGGGGAAAAGATAACCTAGAAAGTCAGTCCTCTCCCAGGAAAAAAAAAAAAAAGAAAAAAAAAGACCAACTGCAAAGTACAGGAGGGACCATCCAGAGGGAGACACTTCTGCCTCCAGCCCAAGTCCTCAAAACTCCAACAGTCCCCTGTACATGCAGCTGAACAGTATCATGTTTACCAGATGATATCAGAAGGCTAATATTAAAAAGTAAACAACAACTGAAAAAAAAAGGAAGAGTTACTTTCTATTGCTGCCATAGATATATATACACATCTTTGTAGTGACACAAAAAGACGATCTGTGGCTTTGAGTTCTATGAAAAGGCAGTGACTTTATCTCCTGTTAGAACCTCATACACTGTAAGTCAAACTTAAGCACTCTGCTTACTGGTGGACTCACTGTGCTTACTGATATTTCAGAAAGTAACTATAAATCACTTCCTAGCATAACACGGTTAGTTAATTGCAACAGCTAGGGGACAGTGATCTGGAAAGCAGTAAAGATAGCCTCTTTTATTACTACATTAAGTGCAGTGAAAAAAATAAAATGAAATAAAATAAAAAAATAACAACAACAACAAAAAAATCAATGCTACTAGGAACTCTGTATCTTTTCCCGCAACATTAAAAAAAGAATATCAGAGGTTCTGGAAGTGAATGAATTACAAAATTACCATGATGTAACATGAACATCCTTGAGAAGGCTGATAAACCTGTCCACCAGGGGGACACAGAGTGGCCCCAAGATATTGTCCCAGTTGGGATGCATATACTCAGAAGCTCTTCTCTGGGCATCACTTTCACAGCAGAAGTAGTCAGCACAAGGGCTAACAACGTATGGAATGAAATAATAATTTCCACTGGAAGCCTAAAAGAAAAACAAATGTAGTTTAGAAAACAATTTAAAGTGGAAATACATTTGTGTAAACACAGGAATTATTTACAGTCAGAAAAAAACAGCTTTGGGTTGGCACCTAAAAAAACAAACAGATTTAGGTTGGCACCTAAGGAAGTTTCAGTGCAGTATTTAACACAATATGTGCAAGCATTAAAATCAATGAATTTTGTATGGAAGAGTTACAAATATTAGTAAGTAATAAAAAAGAGTTTGGATCTGTTTAGAAACAGTGCAATAAAACTGTTCACCCCAGGGATGGGGCAACCACAGCTTCTCTGGGCATCTGTGCCAGGGCCTCACTGCCCTCTAAAGAATTTCCCCCTAACATCTCACCTAAATCTTCCCTCTTTAAAGACATTCTCCTCTGTCCTATCATTATCAAACTGGGTAAAAAGTCTCTCCCTTTCCTGTTTATAAGCTACTTTCAAGAACTAGAAGGCCACAGCGAGGTCTCCCCAGAGCCTCCTCTTCTCCATGCTGAACAAGCCTATCAGTCTCAGCCTTTCTTTGCAGGACAGGTGCTTCAAGCCTCTGATCATCAGAAGAGCCTCTACTGCATGCTGCCATTAAGCATCAAATATAAAATTAAAATTAAAATCCATGCCTTGAAATATCTAAGACTTTTAACACAAAAAATCCCAAACCAAAAATCCTTAATAGGCTATAGACAGTGTAAATGTGATCAAGGTCCTGAAGTGGGTGAGGAAACAGGAAATGCCTTTCAGAAAATACAGTTAAGTTCAGATTCAATTCTTATGCTCCTGAGCAAGACCATAAAAGCAGATAACTAAGACCAGAAAGACTGATATCCTCTTTCAAGCTACAACAGTTCTCCATTGTTAAAATAAAAGTAAAAACTCAGCCAAACAATGCATTCAGAGTCACTATAAGCCCCAAAGCATGGGGCAGTATAACACAACTAATGCAGTCAGCTGCCACTGAGTATCTATCTGTTGTCACCTTGGGGATACCACGGTATCAAATGTGTACAAAAATATAACTTTCATTTTACTTCAGATCATCTAAGACTGCAGTAAAGCAGCAGCCATTTAAAGTCACTGGGATACTGGGAGAATGCTGAGAGGACTGAAAGAATGAAGATGAGGACAGCACGTTTTTATGTACATTAAGAAACTGCAAGACAAAAACAAACTGTTCACAGAAAATAACAGAGTATTCAGCTACTGAAAATATAGACAGCAAAAGCCTGTTGCTGATCTGGATTTGGAAGGATTTAGAACTTTAAATGATTTCTAATGGATAAAGATCAAGCAATGTTCATTCTTCACAAACCTTGCAGTACTGTACCTCTGTTGTAATAATACCATTACCTGTTGCAATGTTACCTCTACTTTCTATGAAAAAAAAAGTTGTAATTTAAGCAACCAGTATGTTAAAATTATTTAGTCCAAAGTTTATTCAAATATGCACTAAGTTATGTGCAATGCAAAAGCTGCTTGAGTATTATTTCTATTTTTAAGCCCATAACAACAAATTAGGTCTTCCTGCAATGGGGACAACAGCAACAACACAAGCTGAAAGCAAGATACAGCTTGTGATGCAAAGAGAAGTGCGGTTATCTCCCAAAATAGCAAAGCAATTTTCAGAAAATATTGAATGGCATGGACGAGGCATTATATTTCTTAAGTTCATCTATTTGACTGAGGTTTTTGCCTCTTTCTGGATAGCAGAATCTGTGCACTTGAAAATACATTTTCTCCATACCATAAATATTTTTACACACAGAAATCAGGAAAACTACACATATTTAAGGGTGTGACCTTGTTTGAAGAGCAACCACCACAGCTGTAGCTCCAACGATTTGTTTGTCATGTTTGGGAGTTCAGTCAGGTGGCAATGGATGTCTTTGGTACTACATGCAAAGGAAAAGATATCCTGCCTCCTGGCAGAAATATCACTGAGTAAAGCACCAAGGAAACAAAATACTGTATGCCCCTTAGAACTACTTTCCAATTTGTAGCCATTCCACCTACAAATGCATATAATCTAATTGTGATAAGTTTATATCTTTGTGGTTTATATAGATCACACATTGGGTTGATTTATTTCAGAACTATTAGCCATTTTTATCATCTTATTCTGAGAAATTTTTAGGTTTAAGAAATGTAGAAGTATAAAATAAAAGACAGACTGAAAAAAAAAAAAAAAAGAAGAAGAAAAAGGAAAAACTCTCAGCAAATAATGTATGAGCTAGCAGTGACACTTTTGTATTCAATCACAACAGTTCCAGCCACCAGAAAAAGAGCCCAAAGTAGGAACATTTAAAAAAATTACAGAAAATAGCTACAAGTAAGTTGAGAAAGGAACCTGCTTTTTAAAGGAAAAGGGTGGAAGGAACTAAGGGCAGAGTCACGTCTTTACTGAAGTAGTTAGGCCTGCAGAAGTCATTTTAAGATGTTGGCATGATGGGCTAAATGTAGTGCTTTTTTCTTAAAATACTCCTCTAAGTATTTTAAGGCTGTTAAAAGTGAAGATTTGACCTTGATAACAGAAACAGTTGGGTTGTTGATTTTTAATCATCTTGCTACAGTTATTCTGGCCAAACTGCCACTTTGTGACAGAGATACCAAACTAGAATTTAAGGGCTATTATTCTGAATGTGGAGTAAAATCTCTGCATCTTCAGAGAGGGAATTTTGCCTTCGCAGCTAACAGCTCAGCTTTTCCACTCCAGCCATGTCGTCCTTTTTGTCAATCACTCAAGGAGCATTAAGAGTGCTCACCCTCACTTACCAAGCAGTTGGAAAAGCAACATGCCAGATGACAGAAAAAGACTCAAAGAAGTCACATGCTTGGAGTATTCAGGGAGACTAATGGACTTTTATCTTAAGAATTCATCATAAGAATCCATTCGTACCTTAAGAATTTAAGTTTCCACAGTAGTAGATTTCTATGCCATCACATTCCTACCTATTTTACAATATAGGTGACTCTAAAATATCATCAACTTTTTAGAACACCTCCTGTTCACAAGTTGAACATAAGTGGTGTCTTTATATAAATATTGCAAGAAAGATTACTGTAAAACAAACAATCCACACACAAGATCCAGGTTGCAAGTAACATGTACTCTGAGATTACCATTGGTGCAAAAGAAAGCATAACTTTTATAGCACCCTTACACAAAAATGCTATAGACACAGTAAGAAGATGGCATGTTTATTAAGAGAAAACAGACGTAAAATGATGCATACTTTGCCTATCAGGCTACCATTGTGGTATTCAGGAGGTACTTCAACCCGAAGAAAAGTTTTGTGGTTGACAACCTACTCCAAATTGAAATAAAGCAACAAAGAGGAAAATACCACCATAAAACAGCATGAGAATCAAAACAACAGACATGAATAGAGAAACAATTAAAGAAAGAAACAATGGAGAAGGAATACAACTATTTATAGTAAATCTATTTTTACAAAAACAAGAAAAATAGTAGAGCACATTGCCAGCAAGAAAGTAGAATGTTAGGTTTCTTTATTTTTCTACACATCTCCTTGTATCACCATTAACTTGCTTTAAAAGTCTGACTTCTTAACAGTGGCAGATTCATTACCTGATTAGTTATCTAAAAGCCAATTGCTACAAATGTACCTCCCTTGAGACAGTAACATTTCCATAATTACTGTCATAAATTAATATTAAAAGCCTTACTTCATTATGCAAATAATAACTGTGTTATATGTAATGATCAGAAGTATTAAAAATATTTTTTACTATTTCTTCTCAAAAAGGAATAACAATCAACTCTAAGCTACTCTTCTCTCTTTCATTCTGTGCCCTTTCGAAACTCTTACCACTTCTGCTGCCTCCAACTTTTTAGTAATAAATTAATAGACAAACACCATACAATCTTTTATAAACTGCAAAAATAATTCATATATATATATATAAAGCCATTCTATAATACCACTTCTTCACATTATCAAATTCACACAGGGTAGTTATACTTAATTCAATCCACGGGACTACTAAAGTGGAGAATGTATCCAAGTGTCAAAATCTTTTTATTTAGATTTCTTATGTGTTCACTGACTTGAAGAATTAGATATGTAATTTATACAGCTATTGAAGCCCTGAAGAGACTTGGGGCCAATCTCAATAAAAACTGATTTTTCAACATAAAAATTTCTTTGGCAAGGATAAATTTCAATCTTGTTTCCTTTGGATCAAGGAGAAATTTGCTAGCAGCTCCTCCATAGCCAAGGCATCACTATCCTCTATAATTTAAGAAAAAAGAAAAAAACCCAAACATTTAAATCTCAAAATATTTCTTCAGGTACACAGACCTAAGTAATAATAAACTTTTTGGTTTAATAGCTATCCAACTTCCCTTTAAATACCTTCTCCCTTCCCACCACCCTTCAAATTAACAGTTTTTCAAACCCCTTCAGATCTACTATCAACTTATCAACTAATGAAAAATTTTCTTTATATTCTGAACTTGCTCTAATAATTTTTCCACAAGGGAAGTTCTAGCTTACATTCTCAGTGTCACATTCAAATAAACTAAACGGATCAAAACATTCAGTGCTAGAACTATTGTAAGAAGGTCTGAACATTCTGCTTCATGACCCCAGCAGTTTTTAAAACACTTTTTGTGCGCCTTTTCTTCTCTCCATCTCGGACATCTTTACACACTATTCCTTAAAATTCTGTAGAGGGAGACAAAATTTCCCTTCTGAGAACAAAAATAAACAAATCAAGGATATCAACAACATTTTGTACCAAAATATAATAATATTCCCAAGGATTTTGTGTAATGCTAAATTGGGGGAAGATTTTCTAAGCAATTCAGGCTTTGGAAAATCCTTGGAATTTTATTTCTTCCAGTAAACCTGTAGTAACATTAACATCTAAAGAAACTCCAATGTGCAAGCCAGTTTTCCAGAGAGAAATGCATTTTTCTGTACCCTACAATCTGGTAGTGCTCTCAGACCTTAACCTGTCCATAACAATGCAGGAAACACATTGTTCTGTCCAAACGGACATCTGCTATCTGTGTTATCACTGATAATTTCGACAGAAGAAAGGGAGCTGTGCCCAAACTGTAAGCGAAATTAGCAGAAGGTTGTCCTCAAACCTCCAAGGAGCTCTACGGAAGGAAAACTCATGGGGCACAGGCAATATTGACCTTGCATGTCATACAAGTGCAGTTCTGTTTTGGGAACTGAACTCCCACAGCCCACAATTCTTTTACAAATCTTAAATCTAAATAAACAATAAATTATTGATTCAGAACTTTTACTAATTGTTTGTGGGAGTCAAGTAGATCTGAATCACATCCTTCAGCTTTTTTTTATCCTGGAAATCTTTGTTCCTGGACAGTGGAATGAAGCTATAATCCTAGTTTTCCTACTCCTACACTTTTTTTTTCAGATATGAAGCAATTAAATATCTCAGGCACACACCACCACAGCTTGCCACTGTATAATTCTCACCGTTAGATCAGCTGTGCACAAGTCAACTTTCAAATCAATGCTGTAACTTTTTCTATGCATTGTTTTCAGCTTTATGTCCAGTTTCCTCACTTTTGCATCTTTCCTGATGCATAGTTAGCGTAATATTTTCCTTGCAAGGAAAATATCAACTTTTTTCAAGACCTACCTGCTAAAAAAAAAATCTCCACTAAGGACACGCAACACATTCACCTTTTCTGCATCTTTAGTGTGGTTCCACATCCATTCTATGCTGTTATCTTTTGCAATTTTGTACATGATTTGAGATTTGCAGGATAAATAGCAAAGGCGAGGGCAAGAAAACCTGAGAGAAAGATCCTAACTGCAGAACTGCATGCAGAAAGTTTCACTCTTGCTGCTGGAAAAATGGTGCAATGTGTCTGGTAGCAATCTCAATTACCTTCTTTCCTTACATGAGCACAGACACAGAGTACTGAAGCAGCAAGAGGACTTCTCTTCATAAAACCAGTAATGGTATTCCTGTGGCTACCTTTGGACTGGAGGAAGGCTTAGCAGATGAAGTATCTATCCTTCTTCCAACATATCTCCACACTCCAGTGAAGAGTGCACGTAAGCTCTTTCTGCTACATCACAGCTGTGACAGAGGCATACCAATAGAAAGATCAGTTCAACCAGGAAATGTGAAAGGAAAGTACAGACTCGTAGCAGAGTATATTAAGTGCTATATGCAATAGTTAGAAATGAAACTGCAGTGGTTACATGACTATTTACCTCACCCGATGTAGTAAATTCATGTCAATTCTGTAACTACCTATCTAGCACAGTAACCCTAATTAGCAATGGCCCTCCAAAAAAAAACTGATACAGAACTTTCGTTTGTTTGCAGGAGTCAATCTAAATGGCATTCCCCATCTTTTCCTATCCCGGAAATCCTAATTCCTGGACAGTGGAAGGAAACTACCTTCCCAGTTCTCCTATTCTTATGTGATATATTTTATCAAGCACTAAACCAGTAGCACAACTCTGGACTGCAGCAAACTACATGCCTCTCCAGACACATCTTGTGGCTTGCAAGGAGAGCAACTGTCTATTTGAAGCCAGTTCCAACTTAGAAAAGGATTAAGTTTGAACTTATTAATTATTTAGCTTGCTAATCAGTTTACTGCTGTTTCAGATTAAAAAACTGATTAAAAAATGCAACATGGGAGCACATTACAATAAATTTACTATCTAAGAGAATACAAATAACTTTGAGTAATATGAAAAGTCAAGAATCTATACTTGATATTTTAAGTCAATTATTTTTTCTTCTGTATTTCACTCACAATGGTCTTCGCAATCTAAGCACTTGAAGGAAGTAGGTTACACAACTCTTCCCCTCCCACCTTTTTAGAGGAGTGATCAGGATGCCAGTTTCAAGATCCCTCCTTGCCCTTTTTGCTAACCTGGTGTTTCCAGGTCTGATGCAGGAAACTTTACCAAATCCACTTTTCCTTCTCTTCCACATGAAGCTGAAGGAGGTCCTAACTCCCTTGTGGGGAGAGAATCAGCCAAAAGAAAAGGCTGCAGGCTGCTATTCCTTGGCACTAGGTTGAACTCCACTTTTGCACCACCTAAATGGCTCTTGTCACAATTCTCCCTCTGGCTCTGGAGGGGAAAGCATACACTTGTGACATCCACCAATTATAGCCTGAAGATGGAAGTAGCATTATTCACAAGGAAACCTCAAGCTGTTCTGAGGCCTCTTTTCACAGAGCTGCAGACTAGGAAATGCAGTTCCCGCTGCACAGTGAAACCAGATCAAAGATATCAAAGATCACCACAACAGACAGGAAAAGGACTTGGACTTACTCAACCTGATCTATCTTTAGCCTATATACTTGCTGCAGCCAAGTATAAACTGTAACTCAAAATAAGCAGCTGTAACTAATAAGTTATCTCTTTTAGTTCTCTTCTAAAAGATCAGTTTAACAAAATCAAAAGCCATTTTATTGTTTTAATCCTGTTTAGGATTACCTCAGAAAAGAATAAAAGTATATGGGAAACGTATAAAGGTTCAAGATTTTTATGAATTCAATAGCCTTCACTATAACAGTGTTTAATGAAAATAACCACTAATGGAAAATATCAAAAAACACATAAGTGTGCAAGACATTGTGGTGTATTACAGTAAGCCTAAAATAACTACTGAATTGTATCTTTCTTGAGGTTTACTTACTTATTCGGTTTTTCTTGCATTAAAGTTAAAAATGTTTTTAATTGAGGAAGGTTTTGCATTCCTCAGCAAAACCTGTGAATTTGTGAAGAGGATGGGTACAGAGTGGTCAAATGTGCTTGATGTACAGCCTTAATAAGGTATCACACACACATACGTATTCATACAAATGAGTGAAAGTGGTAGAGGTAGAAACGGACTTTGAAATTCCAAGTCTACATTTTTATCTATGAAAGTACATATATAACATATCTGCTGGAACTTCTCTAGAAATTGAAAAGGAACTCCTAAAGAAAAGTAATTTTTTAATCTATCTTTTCTTCTGAAAGGAAATCAGTAAGACTCATTAGTCAGTACTGCGCGTAAGGAAAACAGACTTCCTAGTACCATAAAGAGCATACATAAACCTGGTAACTTTGTTGTTAGAGTTGCTTCAACTGTAGTATTCATTTTGTGTTTTAAAATGAATGTAGATTTAATACTTACTGTATTTTTCTGAGATACCATATCCTGGAAAAAAAAAGAGAATGAAAAAGGTCATTTTTACTGAGAATTATTATGTCCAATAAAACTAAATGGTAGGCACCAACTAAATGTGCACACATACAAATGTGTTCTTAACTCATAACCTCCTTTTACTGCCATATCAACTTCCAAGTGAAGGGCAATGTCAAAAAAAATCTCCATAGTTCAGTTTCAGAAAGAATTAATGATTCAGAGAATAAACCTATTTAAATTAGTGCTCAGAAGATAAAGAAAACTTGTAGTTGCCAGTAACTGGAGTTTCTCAAGCAGGGCACTCCATAAGCCTACTGGACACTTGTGAATCAAAAGCATTTAAAGCTGGACACTTTTTCTCTCAAAGAATATCCTGAAGATACCTAGGCTCCTTTCCTACCTGGATGGGCACAGCCCAAAACACTCCTGCACCCTACTTTTTCTGACCCTGAAATCTAAAAAGAGAGATTGAAACCATGAGGAGGATGACAATTTAATGTAAACCAAACCTCAAAGATCTCCAGCTGTTGGTAAGTAACCTTCTCCTTCTTGTGGTGGCATCATGTCCAGTAAACACTGGTTGGTGAAATAAAGAGATCTCCAGATAAGCTACTTTACAAATGTTAGAGGCAGACTTGTTTCTAAGCAAGGTTAATCACTGAAGTAATTTAACTGTATGTGCTCTGGCAACTTAAGATGATTCTTACTCATCAACTTCACACATCTGACAGCCTCAAAACCACTTGCACAGAAATGACGGTGCTCATGTATATACCATCAGACTGAGCATTACTAACGGTCTAAAAGGTTTAGTTCCACAATGATGAACCTCCTGAAATCCAGCCTTTTTATTATGTGCTTAGAAATAGGTTGTTTTGGAAAGAACACTGAAGAAATTGAAGATACAACTCTTGGGAGAATTTCAAGGATGTGTTCTATGAAGTAAACTAAATAGTCAGGCTGCCTGAACTTCACAGCTACTCCAGCAGGAGTAACAGTAAGAATACTGCCTTCATAACAGCTAGGCTAGACACTCTTATTGGGCATGTAAAGCAACCCAAATCCAAGTAGAGTAATATATTCCTAAAAGCAAAGGGAAAAAAACTGGCTAAATTAGTCAGAAATAACAGATAGTCAACTATTCACATCAAGGTATCTATACCTAACGGAATTACTGATTAATGCAACAAAATACTAAAAAAAAAAGATTGAAGGCTTAGTCTTCTGAAATAAACACCTGAAAGAAAAGCTAAAAGTAAACAGGTCCACTTACCTAAACAAATATCTCTAATAAAATTTTGTCTTCTGTTGATAAAAACTTCTCTCTAAGGAAAAAAAAGGAACTCTTCTGAAAACTATCTAGCATCTAAGCCATGAAACGTGTCAAGAGATCACGAAATGTTCTTCCCTGAAGGATCCCAAGAATAATCCCTATCTACCTTCTGAAGTATTCCTAAAACAAAAAGTATATTTATATATTTGAATGGTATTCAACAGCAAACTGGAGGTCGATTGCAAAAGAAGTATCAAGAACATCAGAATAGGACAGAACCATCTCCCCAGTATCCTGCTAAAACTACCCTGGTGTTCAACCAGATGATCTCTTCAACTTGTTTCCAACAACTCAAATCAATTAATCAAGTAATTTTGATCACTCAGTAAGGTATGCCAGGGGACTGTTGACCAACGTGATTATACAAATGACTATGAGATAAGAGATACAGCAGGGCTCAGTGTCATTAGCAGAGCTCCCACGAGAAGAGAAATTAAGAGAGAGAACAGTTTTTCCAGCCCTATGTGATGCAGTCATACTCTAGTGTTGTGAGGTCCCCAGGCTCGTACTTGAGCTTCACACTCTTCAACAAAAAGACCCAGAACTGACACTTCCAAGGTCTGCAAGCTCTGGCAGTGAACTGTTTGAAGACCTGGCCCACAGACAGCTGCGAGTCTGGAGGTCATTCATCCAGTTACGGAGCACATGCTTGCATCCGCGCTTGGCACAAAGTGCAGAAATCAAAGCCGTTCACCTCATTAGGTGGAGATATGTAAAAGATGACTAGCTTGGGCTCCCCAAACTTAGGCAGCTGCTGAGGAGAACCAAGATGATCACAACTCCTGAGATACAACGTAAGACAAGGATTTAAAAAAATGAGTTAATAAAAAATAAAAACTGCAGTCAGGTATGTCGTCTCTGCAAGAGGAAAAGCTGTATGCCTGCCCTTAAGAAATTATTAGAGCAACAAAGGGGATGCAAGTATGCCTTGACACATATTTGTTGCATCTCTTTGAGCAAAGGGTGTGAGAGGTCTCGTGACTTCAGATTACACAAAATGTGAATGTATATGTGGAACACAATTGCAGAAAGGAGCAGATTCAGAGTAAAACTGAAGACACTGAAAGAAAAAGAAGCTATGACAGGACCCAGCTTTTAACGCAGTTAATATTCAACTTAATATTCTTATTTCACTGGGAAAGGTTGGAGAATTCCAAGATAGATTTTTGGACATCAGTGGCATGAAAAAAATGTTAAAACCATAAGAGGCAATAAATCAAAAGAAGAGAAAAACAACCTCACACAGTATGAACAACGCTGTTCTCAGTGAAGGTAGCAAGAAAAAGGATGATAATTATAAGAATCAGTAAGTGGTAGTACAAAAGAGTAATCTAAATGTGAGCCAAACCAAAGAGCCAAACCTATGCTGTGAAAGAAATATCCCATTATAGGATTTGCAGCCAGAACAGTCTTAAAAGACTTCAGCGTATAGCATGTTTCCCTACTGTAATAGTGAACAACAGGCCTGTAAAATGATTTGATTAGGATCTCTTCCTTATTCCTTCCTTCTTCATCAGAGAGAAATAAGATGAAGATTCCTGTAATCTTAGCTTCTCAGAAACTAGGAGATACTAACTTCAGCTGAGAGAAGTACTTGAATGTTCAGAGTAGGTTGCAAGACATTACTTCTTTGAGCATCATTACTAGAAGTGAAAGTGCAGGTTTTGTACAAGTCAAACCATCTGAAGCAAACCCAGTACTGCAGTATGGATCTTTTCTTATAAACAAGCTTTTACTTTACTCTAACCACTGCTATTCTTGGTAGTAGCTGTTATTCTTAACAAGATTTTGCTAAATAGCCATTAGGAAATCACACTCAATGAAAATTTCTGCCACAAATGTTTGCAGAATCAGGTAGTTAAAGTTATTTCTCAAACAAAGCAAGATTTTGAAGAGAGAACCTTACTTTGAGAGACTGGGCAGTGTCATCATCAGTGCCATGGTAGAGTATAACATTATTTGCCATGTCAAAGCTTTCACGCACACCAAGGTGGTAGAACAGTGATGGTTGCTTGGAAATATCACTCATATCCACAACTGCAACATCTGAAATGAGAGAGGAAGGGGGGAAAGTGCTAAAAAAAAAAAAAAAAAAAAAAGTCTTAAAACCCAATTTATTACTACAAAGAATTTAAAATGAATGCTGAAATCACACACACATTTGTAAGTACAAAATCAGCATACTCAATTAAGGATCATTTTCTCATAGTACAAGTATTACCATGCACTTGAGAGATACTATATCCAGAAAATGATCACAGTATTACCATAACTGTGAGGCACGGTCTGTGAATTCACAGTTTTGAAATCACTGCATCAGGTGCACTGCAGGTGAAGAAGGAGTTCTACTTTTGCTCCCCAAGCCAGGCCTGACAGTCTGAATACCCACTAAGATGGGAAATGTGGAATCTGCAGGTGAAACCTCTGAGGAGAATAAGGCAGATGAAAATTAAGGAAAATCACATGACCATGTTTAATTTCACTGAATCTTGCAACAGAGGAAATTCCTAAACAGAGGAAAAACAAATAATTTGTGAAATTGACTTTTAAAAGCTATACACATTTTGAGGTGCAGGGCAGAGTGAAATACAGAACTCAACTACAAGCAGCTTGAGCAAGACTTCATAGTGCTCCTGGGTAGCACTCAAGTCAGAAATGAAAATAAGAAACTTTGCATCAGTGAAGATGACCAATACAGAGAGGTAAATAGAAATACCCTGTACTATGCAGAACAGCTGAGATACAGACTAAAGATTTGGAACTCACTGTCTGTTTTTTATGTGAGCCTAAAGACCAGCACAGATAGAAGAAGTAACTGGAATAAAGACGCTGTTTTTTTAAGCTGTTTTTCCCTTGATCCTTATATATTCCGTGCCACATAAGAGAGTTGTGGTATAAAGCTTTTTGAAGGTCTGTGTCTGCATGACTGTCTGCTTTCACTGCTGGGGGACAGACAGCTAAATGTACACCCAAAGTATTCATAATACTAAAGCTTGGGCCTTCAAACCACAGGACAGTCTGAAGTACAAAACAGATTCCAAAGTCCCAGTTCAGCAGGGCAGTAAATCCTGCACCTCTGAAGCTGCTAACAGACAGCTCCTGTATCTACAGGGAATGACGGAGAAGAATGAAGCTACTAATAAACGAAAAACCCAGGAGCGGGCCAGGCCTGTTGTGTGAAATCCAAACAAAGCAGTCAGTTCACCTGGGTTTCACTGAGGTTACCTACCAGAAGAATCAATGCCTCATACTCAGTATGCAAGTTCTTGGTAAATCCAGCAGTGAATATACATTCCTGTACAATTCCACCTGGGTATTTTAAAGACTTCTCATTAACCTGTTAAAGCACAAGGACGGGCTTTTGAGTCCACAGAAATGACCTGCCTAAAAACCTAAATGTCTCTACTTAAAACATGATAATTTGAAAAATAATTAATAAAATAATATCATGGTAAAGAGAGAAAATTCTCCTTATCCCTGAGCAACCTCAAATTCTGCACTACCTACTGATCACCTTTCCATTCCTGCTCAACAAGCTTTCTACAGCAGAGCTAATCCTAGCATATCTCATGCTACAGGGTCATACAAACCAAGCAGGCTGGAAGCAGTAAATCCCAGCTTCACCCACACATCCTCATCCAGATTATCCTCACCTCCAACATTACCTCCAAAATCAACTGAGAAAACATAAGTGATCTATAAAATAAACATTTAGACGAAATAACAAGCAGACCTAGAATCACATTAACTCAAAGAAAAAGATGAAGTCAAAGAGTTCTGGACTGCTTTTAGGGCCTGTATAAACTCGTTTTGTGGAACTGTGCTGTGGAGTCAAAATCTCCTTCCTGGTGAGAAGATTTAGACAATGTGTTCACATAGCACACAGATACTGCATTTTCCAATATCACATGAGCAATGACCCATAACAGTTTACTGCAACAAGGCTACCCGCAGCCCATAGCTGTGCAAGCCTACATCTGAAATTTGCCTTCTCTTGTCTGCTGCTCGGTTACAGTGTAAGTGGCGTCAGAACCACATTAAATGGGCATAACCACAGAAATGTCCACATTAAAAAGGAGTATTATTCAGCAGTTAACACTGATAAAGGATAAAAGAAGATGAGTTTTTCTTGTTTATTCACATCTCATGAACACAAGTGTGAATAAGGTAAAATAAACAGAAGACTAGCAGGGAAGATGAAGGTGGTATCACAAAAATGTACACGCACATGGAGAAAACAGCCCCAGGAAGATGACTGAATAGATCCAGTCTGACTGTGGGAACCAAGGGATGAAACAGAAGCAACTAAAGCAGAGCATCAGAAACGCTGGTGGCAGCAGAGCAGAGCAGTGAGAAGATCCTGTGTTCCCAGAGTGGTCTCCACAACCCCTCCAGCAGCAACAGCAGTGTGCTGGAAGCAGGAAGGAGAGACTATGCACCTATTTACATAGCAGCTTTACTCAGGTGCTAGGGAAGCATATCTTGAGTCTGGTGAGGTCAGGAAATGATCACGAGTGGAGAACAAATGATGAATAATCAATGCTAATTAAAGAAGCAGCTCCCTGAGACACATTCAGTGCAGTGGGCACTGCAAGTACAGCACTCAGTGATAGTGACCATTCCCCAGAACTACTGTTTTCAGGGCTACATCTCTTTTATTAGCGTAGCAAGTGTTGATGTAGTGTATCAACTAATGATTCACAAATACTTTTCTTTCAGTTGTCTTACGCTTTGCTTGCAATTGATGCTAAAATCTTCCATCTACAGTTCTTGAAACACAAATAAAGGATCCTGAAGTACAACAACATATATAGGATGGTTACAAAGAGAGAAGAATTTCCATACTTATAAGATCTGTGAGATACATAAAATTAATATTGCAGCACAGGCACCTGCTTAGCAAAGCACAATTTATGAACAGAAACAAGTTGATCATGCTTCATCCTCTACTCCCATCTCCGTGTCTGAAAAGCCAATTCAACAAAACGCTTTCCAGGCTTCTCTTTCCAAATTTAGGTTCAGCTTCCTTCCTCACAGATAAGTGTCAATCAAGAATTAATGCCGACTTTTTGGATAGCCAGACTGTAGGTGGTAATAGCTGAAGTTCAGAGTAGAAGTCAGCAGAAGCAGTCGGCTTGGAAGAAACAATGGCACATGTAGTTGGAGGTAATGAAATCAAGCAGCACGACACGCTCGCAATGCCTGAAAGCATTTTAACATAAGCAGAAAGCACAAAAACTGTATTTGTTTTAAATATCTTGTTTAGTCACAACCAGAAATTTCTTCTTCTTGAGTTCAGTTCTCACCTGCAACCTTTTATGCTTTGGAATTCCAATAGCCTCAGCACCACTAATTCTCATTCAGCAAAACCATCCCTTGGGATACAGTGAACACCAGACAACCACCCAAAATGCAGCATGGACAGATTGAGAGGCCAACATTCATCTCGAGCTTTCTGCACAAGCACCCTTTTCATCCAGACTGATCCAGAACAGGGTTACATTCACATCCAAACATTACAGCCATTAATCCTGTCAGCACTGTGGTGCTACTTTACAGCAGTACTCAGATACTGCCTCTTTCATCTGTACCAGAGGACACACTTTAAAAACAGAAACAGAGCGTATTTTTAGTGTTCCAGTGGTGTTTACTGCAATTCAGGAGAAACGAGCATTTAAAACTATTAATTTTTCTAAACCATGATGAAGTATTCATATTTATAACTGATATGTACTCCTTATTGTCAAAAGAACCCGCTCACCACAAAAATTAAATCACACACAAGAAACTACAATTCATTTAAAAGCAGCAGAACAAATTACAGCAGGTAAGTAATACTGCCAGTTTTAGGGATTGATATAGAAAATAAATTCATTTTCTCATTTACTTTTATGTCCTGCAGCTTCCTTATTAATTAGATACATCACCTCAATCTTGCAATCCCTCAATAGCATATTAAAGATTTTGTGTGTTGTTAAATGGAAGGAAAGGTTCTCCCAAAGTCCTTGGAAATGAAAAGCAAAAGCTTTATGAAACATTATTAGATGTTTCCTAAATATAACTAAATTCACTGTAAAACTGTACGTTTCAAAGAAGGCAAAGCATTATTCTAAAATAGGAAAGCAGTTCTACTGATCCAGAAAAGCAAAACTTGTGCCCAATGTCTGTGCTTATATTTAACTGATCTTCCAAGAGTGTTTCTCAAACTCTGCCAGACAGAATACAACTGTGCAACTTCAAGAACTGGTGCACGAAGAAAATTAATATGGTTAATAGAACACATGGCAAATCCAAAAGTAGAATGCACTTTTAAAGCTCTGCACAAGCATGAATATGAAAACAGTGCCTTGCTAGAAAATATTGGAATAGCAAAACACCTGAAAAGAACCCGTCACCAGAAGGGGTAGAAAAATTTATTTTTCTTCTTTTCCTAAAATGTTAACAGCATGAAAAGAACTAATCCTAGACAACCTTTTCTTGCATTATTGAACTGCGGAAGTTAGAAAATATGTAATTTACTCTAAACTGTGTATGTCTAAGCTTAGAAATTGCTCACTGTTTTCACAACAAACCTTTGTTCTCAGTCTTATTTTTTTTCCCAACTTTGCCAATTTGCTTGAGGTTGCGTGCTTGTGGTTTTTTTTTTTTTTTTTTTTTTTTTTTTTTTCTTACAAACAATTTAATTAAAAACAATCCAGTCATTTCTGAAACCATGTTGGGGAACTTGTTCTTTTGGCAGTATTAAGCATCCTCCCATGCCAAATTAAGAAGGCTTAGTGCTCCCGTGTACCAAAACAGAGTCTGAATAGTCAGACTCCCTGGACATACTCATGCTAGTCTCAATTAATGTTATTTATTCCAAAACTAAGATTCAGCAGCCATTTGGTCAGCCACAAGACAGGTGTTTGGTCTCATGAGATCATCTTCACTCCCCTCATTGTCAATGCAGAGAGATAAAGCACTTTTAAAATACCATTTGTCTGATCCATCAGAAGTCTACTTTAGCCTGTCCCCTTCCCTCCTGTGGCTCCTCTTTAGGTGATCTG